AATGTAAATCTTGCTGCATTCATCAAGACTTAATCTCAAGTACCTATGCAAAGTAATTCAACCTTCCTAGCATGGTGAGCTATCTCAGGTTCATAAAAACAGTGCATTAACACCACTTAGCACAGGGGTGGGGAACCTCCAACCCAGACCTCCTGAGGTGCCAATGTGACACTCTGGGTTCCCCAAATGGCCATATCCTTGTCTCCAACGATTCTTTCTCATTCCCAAAATTAAGCACACTCTTCACCCCTGTAATGGCCACTGACCTCCGGCAGTGGGATGAGTCAGGAAGAGAACTAGGGGTCCAGGTGCAAGTGGAAAGTCTTTGTTAAGGTTACAGGGTCTTCACATTGCTAAACAAGAGACTGATAGACTCAGCATGCAAATTTCTCAGAGGGCAGGTTTGTGTACCCATTTCTCCTCGAACTGCTAAAGATACTTCCCACAGACCTGAATTTTACTTTCTACAGCTGACTTCCCCTGCTGAGTATCTTCTAGATGTTTTGGACATAAATTCCCATCAACCTCAGGCAGTGTGGTCAATGGTCATGAATGTTGGAAGTTGTAATCCAAAACATCTGCAAGGCAGATTGGGAAAAGAGTGTTCACCAACATTTTCAAGATGAAATAAATAAAATCCAGGGTTCAGTGAAGTCAAATGAAGTTGACAAAACTCAGGGAAGGGCATAATGCTGTGAAATAGCTAATCTGATATTCCTGAAATAGATGTACTGTTTTTATATGTGTGGATTTTTTTTCTTTTCTTCCTTTGTATGCATGTTCTTTATCCCTCACTCCAAATAAAGTTTTGTTGGAGTTCATGATGCTTCTTGAATATTATTCCACATTAATACTATTCCATTCTCAGGATCTTCTGCTTCTTTGTGTAGAAAAAAGGCTTCTAAATGCCATGGGACATTGAGCAACAAAGTATACACAGAAAGAAAGTGGACACAGGTGTGTTGTACTGGTGCACTTTTCATGCATGAATTGAAACCACAGGCTGCAAGTTTGACTTCTCCCTGCCCAAATTTCCTGCAGACACCCAGGTCTATGGTCTCTCAGGTGACCTTGGCTTTACTAGGAAGCAAAATCCATTGAATTCAGTGGGACTTACTTTTAAGTAAATAAGTTTAGGATTGCACTGCAACTCTGCTAGAAGCTTTCATAGATCAGACATACCTTGAGTGGATTATATATCCATATATATCTGTATGCTGTTATACATGGACTCACCAACAGTCGTGCTCAAGTTCAACCAAGAGTGACACAGGAACTCTTTGACATTTCTATACAAATCAATCATACACACATTGGGCAAATAAAGCCATTCCTAACAGCAATTTGAAGTGGTCTTTCTTTCTAGCAATGCTAAGAAGGAAGCCCCAGGATATCAAAGATTTCATAGTACTGAACACCCTGCCAGACTATTACTGGAAGGATGCAAGGAGGACCGAGGGGAATACCATCTTCCTCTTTTTTACAATGTTCTCTTCTTAATGGACCTTTGGGTCCAATTAGAGAACTCATATTGGTGCGAATTTGACCAGGGCTGGAAAGCTCATGGAACACCCTGTGGAGTGGAGCTGGGTAATCACATCTGACAGTGTCCCTCGCAAGGTTGTGGCAGTGTCTATGGCTTTGGAAGGGGGCTCCCAAACAGTCCTGTGGTCCCTGGGACACTCCCCATCTTTCGTTCATACATTTCATGTTCTTTAGACTTTGCTGTTTAGAATCACAGAATCGTAGAGTCAGAAGGGGTCAGAGGGCCACTGGGTCCCAACCCCCTGCTCAGTGAAGGATTACCAGTTAAACCCTCCCTCTCAGCTGGCTGTCCAGTTGCATCTTGAATGCCTCTCATGTGGCAAAGCCCACAACCTCCCTAGGCCATTGGTTCCATTGTCGTACTAACATTTTGTTTTACTCGAATGCATGCACACAACTATAGATAGCCAGGTGAAGACAGCATGATGCAGCTAACAAAGTGGGCTCTAGTTCTTCAAAGCTCAGGTCACACTAAATCTGCAATAGCCATAAAACATTTCCACAGAGAACACAAAGTGATGGCAAAGTGCCACCTAGTGGAGATTTTGTGTCATCACAAAAGCTGTATTTTCATAAGAGATCAAATTTAAAATATGTACCTTAATTCACAAATGATTTAACTCCAAAGCAGCTGTTTTTAAATCCTCCCTGTTTCCTTTCACGAGATGTTGGTAGTGCCATTTTGAAATAATTATCAGAGTTCTTCATGTTTCAATTTTCCTTCCTGAATCTTTAGATATGGAGCCTCTGAAATGAAGCATTTCTTGTGCGCGCACTCACAGACCTCTGTGTGGATTCTTGCCATGGCATCCTCCTCCTCCTCCAGAGCCATTCCCCTGTTTTTCATACTTTGAGTATGTTTGTGTGTGTGTGTTGGGGGGCTGGGTGGTTAGAGCAAGGAAAGGCAGCTGTTCCATTTCAAATGTGGGACAAACTGGAATGAAAATCTTATATAGTGTTGCAGTTCTGTTCTATTACAGTTATATCCCGGAGGCACCTTATGTTTGGGTAATGAAAAGCCAGAGAACAGCAGACCCCAAGTAGGTGGTGGGGACATATAAAGGACACACTCTTCCTCCCCCAAAGAAAACAAAAGGAAAAGCCTCAGTAAAGTGGCAGGCGAATTAACCCCACGTAGAGAAGCCAAGTTATCCTTAAGGCTGCACCTTGTTTCATTAGTATACCTACAGATAGGAGCATGCACTTAATGGCAATATCCTAGCTGAGACATGCACTACTTTAATTTATGATAGTCTGAAGCTCTCACTGTGGAGACGGGGACACTGGCTGTGGTTAACATGCACAACCTGCCTCCTATGTACATGCTCAGAAGGCTCTGTGTGATTACACAGCTAGGACCATGGCAAAGTGGTAGAATCATAGAATAGTAGAATTGGAAGGGGCCATTGGGTCCAAGCCCCTGCTGTTGCAGGACCCCAATTTACACCATCCCACTCAGATGGCTGCCCAGTTTCTTTCTGAATGTCTCTAGTGTGGGAGAGCCCACCACCTCTCTAGGCAGCTGGTTCCACTGTCATATTGCTCTGAAAATGAGGAACCTTTTCCTGATTTCTAGCCATATCTAGTTCACATGATTTTCAATTCCCGGCCTCTCCGGGTGGGGCTGGAGAAATTCCTTCCTGAATCCCTGGAGGTTCACTGCCAGTGCAGACAGTACTGGCCTAGATGTTTCAACAGTCTAATTCACTATGAAGCAGCTTCTGATGCTTCAATAGTCTGAGTGCATTTAGGGGATCCCTTCAGATGTTGGTGCTGATCCTGAAATTGAGCCTGGTCTGAAACCCTAGCCATGCAGAACATTAGGACCATGCCTGCTGGGGGAGAACTTACTCCCTGCCCCTCATATATTCCTTTTAAGCACCTGAAAGTGACTACTGTCAAATGTCATTGCTTGGTGTGATCAAAACAACAAAGGATCCTGTGGCACCTTTAAAGGCTAACCAATGTAAAGGCATTATGGTTTCATAGTGTGCAGTTCCACTGGATACTATGGAGAGTATTATAGTACAATGGATAATACGCAGATGCAAGTATTCCTGTTTTGATGTGTGAAATGCTAGAACTGAGGGAAATTCACCTCAAAAGCTTAAGAAGAGAAAGACTTGGGAGGAGAGAAGCAGCTGACCTCAGGACAGGCAAGCCTGCTGGATTACATCCATTACAAAGTGGCCAAGTACTGAGGTCAAGCAGCTGACCAGCAATCCCTCTCACCTGTGAAGAGTGGGGGGAGGGGGGCAAGACGGGACCACCACATGATAAACATGGCAGATATAGTTTTTCTCAAAATCCAACCCTCTCAGTCCTGATCTAGCAAGAATGTTTGTTCCTACTTGCAGCTCTTAGAATCCCTCTTGTTTGGCACAAATGGATAACGTTGTTAAATAGGAACCTTTAAAAAAAGTAGGGTCAGAAGCTACTTTGTTGCAGTGCTGTGTGTTAACTATTTTTGTTCAGAACAGGCAAAATGAAACATTAAATATTATTTTCTTCAGGCTTCCCGATTCCTAAATGCTGCATATAGACATTCAATAGGTGTAGAATCCTCATTATGGCCATACAAACGTTGCAAACACTGTACTAGTCACACCTTTTAAAAGAATAAGATATTTCCCCAGTTGAAGCCAAAAAACGAGAGTCACAGTAGATTCCATTGAACAAGGGATGTGTAACAGATGGCACTTCAGGTAGTTTGGCATACTGCTCCCATTGCTGGCTATGCTGCCTACAGCTGATGGGAATTGTAGGTCCATTTCTGGAGGACCTCAAGTTGTGTACCCTGCATGAAATTGGTTTTTTTTTTTTTTTGCATTTGTCTGCAAAACAGTGACCACATGCTTTGAGTTCATGGTGATTGATCCACAGGCTGCTCAGCAGCTGATGTTTATGTTGTGTTTTGAATGCCTTATACTTTTTAGAATATTCATTTCATAGAAAACATCCTATGAAAGCTGGGCCCTAAAAGACATCTGCTATAACCAATCAATAAATGGGAAGTCCCACTCATTTATCTTTTTCAATAGACATATACAGGAACCTACTGTATGGTCTATTAATGATTAATTCTTCACTAGTTTACCATCAAAGGCTAGTCAAAGGGAGAGCAAAGTCCTGGGGCAATGGCCGGTAGGTCAGCTAGCGTGAAACGCCTTCTCCAACCTGGCGCCCTCCAGATGTGTCGCACTGCCACTCCCAACATCCCCAGTCTGAACACTGGGAACTGTAGTTCAACACATCCGGCGAGCGTCACGTTGAGAAAGGCTGCTGCACAATAAAAAGAACTGCCCCTCGACCAGAAAGTCCGAAGAACTTCGATGAGGAAGCGGAAGTGACGAGACCCGGAGCCTTTTTTTTTAACTGTAGTTTCCGCCCCCTGCTCTATGACGCTATTGGCCGGTCGGCTGCCGCGCTCTGTGGGCGGGGTGACAAGAGCGGACCGAGCGGCTCGCGCCCGTAACAACGTTGCCTAGCGCCCGGGCAATGCAGCCGTTACGCGGCGCGTGGGGTTCGTAGCCACGGGAGCCAATCGGCGTGTGGACGGGTAACTGTGGGCGGAGCCGCGGCGACTGGCCAATCCACGGCAGACGCGGCGCGTTTTAAACGACTCCCCGGAGGGGAGGAAACCCGCGTGTTTACTTCGGTCGAGGTGTGCATGAAGGAGGATGCCGAGCCGGCCCGAGGACTACGAGGTGCTTCTGACTATCGGTGCTGGTTCCTACGGCAGGTGCCAGAAGGTGCGGCGAAGGGCGGACGGCAAGGTAAGTGGCGTACTGCTGCGAGGGCGCCCCCTGTGGATGATTGAGGGCGTATTGTGCGTGAGAGTGCTTCTGAGCCAGTGCGGAGTGCCTTTTCCACGTCAGTAATGTGTTATCGTAGTTGGCCTTAATGCTGATCCACGGGGAGGGGGGCGCTGTGTTTTCCTGTCATCACGTGGTTTAGTACCCACCCACCCAGCCGTTGAATCCGGCTGTTGTTTGAAACTCCGTTCCCCATGGCTCCCGTAAGCAGGGACGCTGGGCGTGCTCGTTGCACTCCTGTTCTCCTTGTGCCCTCCTGTGGACAGCTGCTCCCCAGGAGGTGTACTGGATAGTGGCGTACTGGCATATGTACTGGATAGTGCTGGAGGGTATGCTGTTGCCCCCTCTGCCCCTGAAGAAAAGGTTGTGCTATAGCACCCTGCTTTCTCTCACCACCTTTTTTTAGTTGTGCACGTGAGGCCTCCGAGCTCACAACCTGAAAACTAATGGCTTTGGCTTCCATCCTCCAAATGGTGAGGCATCAGCTATAAGTGATCTTCCTGGTAGGTTAGAATTGCGTTTTTCTTAGTAACAGTGCTTTTAATTAGCTAATCTTTGTTTAAAGATGGTGGTGGAAAGCAACATACACATCTCTGTATGTCCGAATATTCTCTGCACACTCAACCTTTCCTACATGTGCTGTCTGGGGGCAGTTTCGTTGGTGTCACGGCCTCATTTTTTTAAGATACTGGGAGGTACTTGCCTCCAGCCATCTTAAATTACCCAAAATGCTCCTCTCCCATATTAGCATAGCTGTCTGATAAAAGCACTCTGTCTGGTCAGCTTGCAGGGTATGGGGGCCGGGGTTGCAGGAAGGAAGTGTAGAGCGACCTGATGCGGTGCTTCCTTTGCACACAGCGTTTGTGTGCGTCTCACACAGATACGCAATGGGCGTGTACTGGAACTCTTATCTGCTTATTTAATTCTGTTACTATGCTGCCTCCTAACCCGAAGCTTCTCTCTTTGAGAGTAGCTATGCCCGTTCTGGTAGCTATCTGTGGTCGTGCCCATAATTTTAAAACTTGCAAATATGCCCGAAGGCATAAAATTGCGCCCCCTGGGGAGCTCTGCTCAAGGTTGCTTGGGATTCAAGTTGTCCTGCTTTGAAAGTTTCTATTTCTGCATGCCTGGTCCAGAAATAGTTCATTTCAAGATGCAGCCTGAAGCAAGGGCTACAGAGCTTTTATATGTTTAGGCTAACAGATGGGCCTGGTTTTGGGAACATAACTAGGCTCTTTCTATCTTGCCTCTACTGTGCTACAATCCAAAGGGAGCTGATTCTTCCTTCTCAAATTTTTGTGGCATAAAACTGCTGACATATCAGTGGATAAGATCACCTAAGCCAGGTTTTAGAACTTCTGGCAGAGCTGCAGAATGTGTACGCTCATGATCATCATAGGAAAGATTTAGTACAACAGGAATCTCTGATAACAAAGCTACCTTACTTGTAATCATTGTATTAATAAAATGTAGATCCCATGATGTTAGAGCGGTGGAGAACTGAAATCAGGCTTGCTGTTGGTGCAAAATATATTATTTGATGATTCTTAGATAGTTTTGGATTAGCTGCTTATATTTAAGCTTTCTCAACACCCAAAGTGGTAAAAGAGGAAGTGTAGTAGTAGCCCAGGTTGTGTGTGTGTGTGTTTTTTTTTTTTTTTTTAGGATCATTGTATCATCTCACCAAGTTCTCTGTATTTGCATTGTCTAGAGATGCCTTGTTCAAATTCTTTCAGGTATTGGTATGGAAAGAACTTGACTATGGATCTATGACAGAATCTGAAAAACAAATGCTTGTTTCTGAAGTGAACTTGCTCCGAGAACTGAAGCATCCAAATATTGTCCGGTATTATGATCGTATAATTGACAGGACAAATACAACGCTTTACATTGTAATGGAATACTGTGAAGGAGGAGACTTGGCAACTCTCATCACAAAATGTACAAAAGAAAGGCATGTATAGCTAAACTGTGCTGTTTTTGGAGAACTTTTAAAATCTTTACTGATTTAATTTATTAATCTTCAACTGAAGCCTATTGAGTCATCAACCAGTAAAAGTTTTGGATGTGCTGAGCTGATTTCTATTGTGAAGGTGCAACAACATTACTGGGTAGATACAGCCCTTTTTATCACATTTCTGTTTAAACTCTGAAAATTGTTTGCCATGAAGTTGATACATACAGGCAATCAAACTAACCTGATCTACCAGTATTACCCGACCAAGTGAGAGTGGGTACGGAGTTACTATACAAACTACCAAATAGTCGCAGAATGGCTGACTGGAAACTGACCCATACCTTACCAGTATGTACACCCTAGCAAGCTACTGCTCAAACTATTGCCTTTATTCATCCCTTGTAAACCTCTGGATAGAGGGGTCAAAATCTCAATAACTGCTCTTCCAGAAAAGTTGGGCCAAAAATTCCTCAAACCACAACTAAGAGGAATAAACTGGGAGGCCTCTGCTTTTGAGTTCACACTTGATGACTATTACCTCTTTGATATTTTTGTTAACCCAAAGACCACTGACATAGGGGATAGAAGAACTTAGTAATGGCATAGGAGAAGTATATGTATCAAATTGCAGTTTGTCTGTCCTTAAGGAAACTGACCCTGATACTTTAGGGCTCAGTTCTGTGAGTGCTACCCACTGTCTAGATAGCCTTAAGAAAAGTGCTTTGAGGTTGGAGCTGGGGCTCCTGCTCTTGCAACCAGCACTGGTCACCAGTAGCACCTAAGGCACCTGTGGGATTCCTCATATGGTGGAGAGCCTCTTGTCCCTCCCCTGAATGCTGCCCCCATGCCCTCTCCACCTTAAGAGGAATCCCACAGCTGGCTTAGGCCCTCCTCAGGAACAGGGTAAAGCAGACAGCTAATGCTGTCCAGGTGTTCCGGAGGTAGAAACACGGAAGTAATCCTTGTCTTGGTGCTCTTCCCGTCCTCTGCTCTGATAATCCTCAGTGTTCAGCTTGGATAGTACCCTTAGTCAACATCTTAATTTCACTTTCCTACTAATGGTGCGCAATATTTAAGGTTACACAATGTAAAACTTTTTTGCCCTGTTCTTCAGCTAAAAATGGCTCCTAATGCAGTTTTCAAAAATCACTTAAGACTGTTCCTGCAGCCAGGCTTACTGTCTAAAAGATAAGATAGAAGATGCGGAGTAAGGGAAGAAAAAACAAAGCTCAGACATTAGTTCTTACAAATACATAATTAAAATTTTGACAGTTCATCTGCATCCTTCCTACAGGGCAGTAAGTAGTAGTTGGCCTTGCAAGGTTAGGAGCAGTCCAGTTCTGTAAGAAACTGAATGTCTAGTTTGTGCTTAACTAGAATCCATTTGTTTTGGCACAGCATTTTTGCTGTATTAACTTAATTTTTAAACTGATTCATCCTAGCAAACATTGTTGTCTTGCTGGTGTGTTTCAAATCACCACCTAGAATTGGAATATTCTTGATGCTTAACCTCATACTAGGGCAAGTGACCACTGCCTTCTAGAAAGGACTCCTCACAACAGGTATAGCCTCTCTTTTACAATTGAAAAAGAAGAAAATGGGTTTTCTTTCTTCAAGCTGCATTGCACATTAAAGGAAATTGTGATATCTTCTCCATGTGCCAGAAGACCTGTAGCAGCCAGTCACGCCTATCTTTTGTGGAGGTCTGTAGAAAATAACAGTGGGAGAAAGTCCTCTAGTCTAACCTTCTGCCTACTCTTGCATAAGTGAGACAATGTGCTGCCTCTTGCACTTGGTAAAGAAGTTTGAATAAGGCAGTGAAACTGCAGGAAAGCTGCCTGCACTTTAACTTGCCTTATCCATGCAAATAAGACGAGACTGACTCTTCAGGCCCTTTTGCAGGTGTTAAAGGGCTTAGGGAGGTGGAATTCCTTTTAAGCTGTGCAAGAAAGTTTTTTTTAATGTTCCCTTGAATCTGGCTTGAATGAGAGAACTTCCCGTGCTTTTTTCCTAAGCAATAGATGGAGCTGCAGAAGCTCAGACCCAAGGGCCAAATCTAGCCCCCTAGGATTCCCCAGAAGGCCCTGCCCCTTTTCCTTCAACCACGGGTTTGTGTAGTTTCCCCCTTAATCCTAAGGTTAAGTTACTGGCAGTAGCAGCTTCAAGCTAAAATAAACCAGAAGTTTTGGACCTGGCTCTTTTAACTTCCGTTTTCTCCTTGATGACCTGATTAGTTCCACAAGATCTAGTGATGGCCACAAGTTCGGATGGCTTTAAAAGGGAGTTGGCCAAATTGAGGGGGGAGAAGGTGTTATGGGGATGCCACTACGGAAATGTAAAGGCCGGGGGGGGGGGGGGGGGGGACAAAAGGGAGGAATGAATTTAAATATTTGTATTTTCTGGTGCTTATTTGGGACTATGTTTTAAGTGTTTCCCCAAACTTCACACTCTTGTCCTGTTCCCCCAGTCCTTCATATCTCAGTGCTTGTAAAATGGGCTTAACCTCATTACTTGCCCCTGGGACTTAGCTACTGAGAACAGAATCTGTCTTGCTGAAGCTTTCCCTTCCCTGAGTTTGATTTTGTTCCATTTGGGAAAACAGCCTAGAGTCTATGTATGTGCATGTCAGTCAGTGTGTCAGAAAGAAAACGGATAAAGGTATTTGAAATAACTATCTACTGCTTCTGCTTTTTTTAAGACATTATCTGGATGAAACCTTTGTCCTTCGAGTTCTTACTCAGTTGACGTTGGCCTTGAAAGAGTGTCACAGGCGGAGTGATGGTGGCCACACCGTTCTTCATCGGGATCTAAAGCCAGCAAATATCTTCCTTGATGGCAAGAAAAATGTGAAACTTGGTGACTTTGGCCTGGCCAGGATCCTTCACCATGATACCAGTTTTGCAAAAACATTTGTTGGAACACCATATTACATGTCTCCAGTAAATATATGTATTTTAAAAGCTGCTGCAACTGCACCTTTTTTTAGCATTTTCCCAGAACAGTTTTTATTAAATGACATTAAATGCAATAATCTATAATAATGATGGTAATCTAGAAAACAAAGCTGGCTGCACCATGTTAGTTTCATGTACTGTATAAACTATATCCCATCTTTTAAATGGCCAAAATAATTGAGATTATTGGGAATTTAGTAAAGCCCATGGTGAACTAAAAATTATATTTGTTAGGGTATTATTCAATTAAATCCTATTGCTGATGGAACTACTTCCAGTAGTAATATGGGGGGGGGGGAGTGAGTCTCCATCTCCCTGTAGTCTCTTATGCACACACAATTGCTCTAGAAAGCGAGCGGACTATAGAGTTATTGGGGTAGGGATCTGTAGAGAAAAACCCTTAATAGCATATGCTTTCCTTGCATTGTTGAACTATTAAGGAAAAAATGAAAGCAAAACAACAAGCTGGTATGAGTGCTTCCTTAGGATAGTGCTTTCTTAACTTGCGGCCTTGTTAAGAAAGCAAATTCTAATCCTCTTAAAGTTAACTAGCAAAGAAAAGTGCCTGTTCTTGGAATTCTGAGGTGATTTTCCTTTCTTTCTTGGTAGTGCTTGCATAATCACAATGAAAGTAAATTGAATAGTAGTGCTGTAATATAGTGAGTAACTGGCCTGAATTAATGTTCAAAATTTGGTTTCATTCATGAAATTTTACTTACACTGGGTTGGATCTAGATGTAGACATACTTTGAGAAGTCCCTCTGAAATCGGCTCTGTTTTAAGTCAGTAACTCCCATGTTTCTGAATGTTTAATTGTACAAGCACTGATTGAAGAATTGGTTAGAATCAAATGGTAATCTAGAATGTACACTACTAACTAGCCGATTTTCTGTGGCATAGCTTCCTATAACCCTCAAAATTGCTATGTTTCTAAAAGTGGGTTTCTTCCTCTTAGGAGCAAATAAATCGCATGTCCTACAATGAGAAGTCGGACATCTGGTCTCTAGGATGTTTGCTCTATGAGCTGTGTGCATTGTCGTAAGTATAGTACTGTCATACCTTGAAGTCAGAGATTTAGTACTAACACATTTGGAATAGATGCTGGGATAAAGATGCATAGAATGCTTTTTCACTTTCTAGGCCTCCATTTACAGCCTTTAACCAAAAAGAGTTAGCAGAAAAGATAAGGGAAGGAAAGTTCAGACGAATTCCATACCGTTATTCAGATCAGCTTAATGAACTTCTCACAAAAATGCTTAACCTAAAGGTAAGGATGGTTTCTCAGATATTCGAATGGTAGCATTCCTGGTGCAGTGTACAGGAGCTTTCGTCTTTCTTCTTTGCATATCCTGTTAAGTCCCTCAAAGGCTGCTCCAGGAAGAACATTTATGAGACCCCTCCAGGTGCTTTTGGGGGTGTGGAGGTTTTGGGAGCAGTGTGCATCTGTCTTATCAATTTCAGAAACATGTGCTTTCTCTTTACCCAAAGCGCAAAAGACTTTATGATTCCTTATAAGTAACAATTCTGCACATTGGTTATTTTATGTCGTCTTGGTTCAAGGATTATTGTCGGCCATCAGTTGAAGAAATTCTGCAGAACTCCTTGATAGCTGACTTGGTGTCTGAGGAGCAAGGGAGAATTTTGGAGCGAAGAGGGCGACGATCAGGAGAGCAAGATAAAATAGAAAAAGTTTCAGGAACTCCAGTGAATGAGCTGAAACTGAAAGAGCAACAGCTACAAGAGAGGGAGAGAGCCATAAAAGAGAGAGAGCACAGACTAGAACGTAAGAATGAATGTGAGGGCAGAAATGCATGCTCCAGCAATGCCTTCAGCGGGGGTGGGATGTATTCCCTTTGAGTTGGAATTTCAGTTGCTCCAGTAAAAGCAAGATGTCTCTTCAAAGTGCATAGTTTAGAGTAAATAAAGGATCAACAAATCAAAAGGTAGCCTGGAATTTCAGAAGCCTGCAACTCTATGAAGCTTGAGTGTGCTAAGCATTCAACTGATGCTCTCCAAAGTATGCTAAATATTTGATGTTCTCTACAGTCACAATATTTAACCATGGATACATCGTGTTTGTATGCTGTATTAAGGATGCAATTGCTTTTCCTATTATACTAATATCCTCCTTTGAACATTCCCCACAATAGCATGAGAACTTCACATACTCTCTGTTGCTTTTCCCAGAATTGTCATTTGACTATACAGAACTGTGATATAGTATGCACCTCTGTAATCTAGGAGAATACTTGCCGCAATCTGATTAAAACTGCTTGTTCTTTTGTTTCAGAGAGAGAGAGAGAGCTATGTGTTCGGGAGAGACTGGCAGAAGACAAACTGGCTAGGTCTGTGCTTTTAGAATGCCTGAAATGTCTTAATTGATACCACAGAATTTATTTTATTTAGTTAATTTCTGTACCACTCAATAGCTGAAACTCTGGGTGGTTCACAAGAATCTCTCAAAATACAAAAAGATACAATAAAAATTGCAATATGAACGTTTAAAATAGTTTAAAATTCCAATTTCAAAAATATGATTTATGATAGTTTAAAGACCTAAAACAAGATCAGTAAAACTAGACCTAATTAAAGCAGCTAATATAATATAATACCTGGGGAAAAGACAGCAATTTTAACCTGATACTGAAAAGATGACAGTGTTAGCATCGAGCAGGTTTCACTGGGGGAAGAGTCCATAGTTGGGGAGCAGTACCACTAAGAAGGTCTTTTTGCTTCTTTTCACGCCTTCCTTGGAGCTGGCAGTTGGAGGAAGGACCTAGAGATAGATCATGGGGTCTGGGTGAATTGAAATCAGGAGAGGTGTTTCCTCAGATATTATGGTCTCAAGCCATGAAGAGCTTTATAGGTTGAAACTAGCTTAAAGGCCTAACAAACAGTTTTATAGCAGAAGCTTTCTTTAATTAGAGCCTATAGTCCTCCTTTAAATGCATGGAATATAAATGGATGTCATATGAAAGTATATATACATATAGGCTGTGTGTGTATGCATGTGAATATATATATGATATAGGGAAATATGTAGATAGGAAAGCAATAGCAATGCAAAAGGTATAACTGTAATCCTTATACCTTTTTTTCCTTGAGGATCACACTTCACATAGATGAAATGAGCACTAATTCATTTATTTAAAACATTTTCATGACAACTTGAAGCATAGCACTTGTTAAATCTTTAAGGTGTGACAAGAGCCTTCACTTTTTTGCACTGTAACAGATTTTGGAAACCATCTTGGTAGAAAGTTTGCTCTGCTAATTAACTCCTCCTTAAACAGGGCTGAGAACCTGGTGAAGAATTACAACTTACTCAAGGACCAGAGACACTTGTTACCAGCGACTAGCCCAGGTAGGAGGCGATTCAGAAAGCTCCTGTTGGACTTCTAAACGAGAGTGCAGAATCTGCCACTCTTATCATGGGTGGTCCTGTTTCTACTACCTCCTCCTTGGTGGCAGATACCAATACGATGGTCATGGTCATAGATGGCCAGCAGCCACTGAGAACCAGCTTCAGTACACAAAGAAGCTATATCTGCTACAGAGCTCAAATCCCCATTGAAGTGGGGTTTGTGCAAGGGCAGCTTGTCACTGAGTGGTAAACAGCAGGCAGCAAGAGAAGGATGCTTCTTGCCTGTACAGCAAACCCCAACTTGGACAGGACGGCTCCAAGCTGTCTGTACCCATCACACTTCACCTATCAGATTTTGTTGCTGTGAATATTTTATTCATTTTGGCATGTTTAGTATTCTGGCAAGCAAAGTTTTGAAGCCCCTAATAGTAGGAAGCCCAGCCCAGCAGGATTTGAATAAATCGTACTGTTAACTGTATTCTTTAAATAGAAACATTTGTGTACAGTGTACCTCAGTTGCTTTACTTGTTTAAAATTTTTATTCTGATTTTCTTGAACTCAAAAATTAGTCCTTAATAAAATATACTTCTAATTTATAAATGACGGTGCCAATCTGACTCGTACAGGCTAATGCAGAGCCTCTATGGTGGTGACTTGGTAACTTCAGAATGAGCTACAGTTTCATTTGGGTGTATCTCCAAACTGTGCACAGTTGTTTGACAAAGGTCTGAACAAAAGCAGCCTAAGGGTTAGCAACTTTACTTTGATAACAATCTAAGCTATTCTCATGTAGTTTCCTTCAATACAGTCCAGCTACTTAGCCAGGCTATGAATTACTATGTCTTGAGAATCCCTTGTTCTGTTTCTAAAGCTGCCTTCCATGCATCATGACTGGGCTTCTTAACCTAGAGCCCGAGGCTCCCTTGCATATGTGTAAGCTCCTGGGCTTGTCTAGTCAGGGCAAGCACCACATTTTCTGCTGTTGTGTAATGGTCACAGTTAAGAAATCCAGCAACCAGGTATACCCTTTGCATGTTGGATGTAACCTTTGTCCTTTGAGTAGTGGCTTGCATATAAAGTATCATATGTTCTTGGTTTATGGTCTTTCTAGATGAGGCAATGGCCTGGTACTATAGTAAAGCACCTTCAGGAAATGCATGCCTCGCTGAGTCTTCATACCAAAACCTATTTACTAACTTACTGCATTTATATGCTATCCTATTACCTGAGGACTCTGGGAGGCTCACAAGAAACAGACAGCAACATAACCATAAAGCAAGATTAAAATGAAGTTTTTGCTAATGGGAGTTCAAGCTGCTCTTCCTCCCCATACACTCAAATGTTTTCTAAGGAGCCTTCTCACTGGACAACTGGACAACTATGTTCAGGCAGTTGCTCCCCAACAATACTTATGCATATAATTTCCTTCTATTGCTTCATTGTGCATATACAGTCTTATTATTCTGAGGTCCCTTTGTGCGTGTTTTTAGAAACCAACTTGCCTGCTGAAGAAGCAGGTTTTAATTAAAATCTACCCACTGAAAAATATGAGTTTCTGCTGTAGACTTGGTGAACTTCCATCTCATCTAATGTGATCCCAAAACACAATAGTTTAAAAGCTGCCTCAGGCATGCATTGCACACATACCGATTCAGTTATATAATGATAAAAAATGAAGTTCACAAACTGCAAGCTGCTTAAAGTTTTTGAACAGTGTGTGACAAAAGTCTTTGTCACTGTAAAATTTTAATGCACTTTTAAGTACTGAAACATTTTAGGTCTGCTTTCACTCTGATTCTTCTAGAGTCTTAGAGGATGAACTGCAACTATACATTACTGTATCAAGAACACCAAAAGCTTGTATTCCAGGTGTTCTCTAGCCATGGTAATAGGAGCCTTTCTACAAGGGGAGATGGAAAAGAACAGACATTGTATTCAGAAATTCAAGGGGCTCCTACGTTTGCTTGAGCCTCATAGCCCTTTCCCTCTAAGAACTTTCAGTACAGGGGAGTGATCAATAAAATCAGTTACAATATCAAATCAGTAAAAGGAAGGACTGTAATGGATGATAGGAGTCAGATGGGCAAATAAAAGATTAAAGAAGCCTGGAAAGTTTATAGAGAAATCAGTTCAGGAAGATCCCATATATTTGCCTTACCATGTACTGTTCAAGTCCATCCAGAAGTGCCTTAAGGAGGGCTTGGGCAGTAACCAATGGGTATGCATGCCATTTTCTATCACATGTGTCTATTTTAAATCTGATTAGTAGATCCATTAATGAGTTAATTTTTATTAGTGTGCAGGGCTGAAATTTAGCTATGTTGGTATAGAGAATTTTAGGATAGAGATCTGAGTTCCACATCATGGGGGAATATTTCTTTTAAGAAAAAGGAGGCATGATAAACCTTCAGAGTTGATGGCTTGTGTTGTTACTTTACTGTGCTTTAGCTACACTTAAAATCACAACATAACTGCAAAATGCTATTGTATATAATGTAAGACTCCCTGTATTCCACAACCCAGGGGGATGCTTTACATATGTACTTGAGTTGTGATTTAGTATAACACCAATGGATAAGCTCTACAGCTGTGGATTTAGTGCTTTACTTTTAAAAAGGAAAGAACACTATACCATGTGCAATGTAAATTGTACTCTCTGATGACAAATATTGCTCTCTGTTCTTAGAAGTTTCATGAACTTACATATTGTAAGCCATCCTGAGATCTTGTATAATAGGATGGCATACAAAAGCTTTTAATAAATAATTAAAAAGGCCCTCCTTTTAATAGAAATGGGATAGGAGTTCCCCAGTTGTTTTTTTAAAACAACTGTAGAATATTAGCCAGTACTCTGTAGTCTCTTAAAACTCAGACCATTCTATAAACTGAAGCCATTTTTTCCTCTTCTATTTTATCTATTTTTTATTTTACACCTAAATAAATGAATAAAACAGTTCTGTTACCAGTGAGATTTATCCGTTTATATCCCACTAGTTGACAATTCTTGTTCCAGGTTGAGGAGTCAGAGTCCTTTCTCTGTGCACTTGCCTCTTCCATACTATGGCCCCTTTTGGCTCCAGCCATACCATTCCACAGAGGAACATAAGGTGGGATCGGCAACTTGTGGCTCCCCAGATGTTGGACTGCGGCACCCATCCACCTGGCCAGCATAGCTAATGATGAAGGATGAGTGGTGCAGTCCATCAGCAGCTGGCTGCAAGTTACCCATCCACTCTGGTATAAGGCATGTGAATGGAACTGTTCCTTTTCATTGCTTGTTCAGTAGAAGATGGCAACTCAAGCAGCAAAGACGACCAGAAGCCTTCGCAAATGATTAACAGTGGGTTTCCTACTTGGGCCTTGACTTGTGCCTAACACTGACGGCTAGAAACCTGTTTCCTTACTGAAGAGGGTGGTTGATAAGATACTAAAATACCAGAGTTTTTATATAAAACCAATTCTGAAGCCTAATTTCTTCCCCTCTATTTCTATAATGCATTCTGTTTCTTGCTGAGGTTATACTTGGGTAATAGCACAGGTTGGTTGGTGTGAAGTCCACACAAGACTGCTTGTATGCCCAGGACAGCCAGTGTGATTTAGGAATGCAAGTTTCTCTACTTGGCCACAGAAGTTACTGGGTATCTGTGAGACATTTCTTGTTTCTTAGCCCAGCATGCTTCACAGGATTGAAGTCAGGATAAAGGGATCCTGCATGCAGTCTTGCCAGGAGAACAAAATTTTAATAAAACATTTCTTTAATAGCAATTGTCTGAACTTAAACACTATCCCTATGTAGGTCTTACAGGCCACTTTACAGTTTTGTAACAAATACAAAGTAATCACAAAATACAAGGACAGCAGAAGACTCTGTACATGATCAAAGGTGCACATTGCTCAATGCATGAAACTTGCCACGTGTGTTATACCACCGGTGTTCTCAGTTTCTTTCTTGACACTGGTTTTAAGCTGCTCCACACAGACAAGCAACTTAAATTTTTACAAAAACCTTTCAACACTTTTTTGTAAAGATGTCTACACAGCTCTAACCCTGATTTCTAACTTTATTAAAGGTAACAGACAGTAATATAGGAGAGTACTCCTAGTCAAAGAGTTTCCTACATAAACAGTGCTCCTACTCATAAACAGGCATGATTGGCGTGAATATTGGCAGGGTGCTGTTTTGTCCCTTACTGAGGTGCCTTTGTTTACCACAGACAACTAGATTTTCTACTCTAAAGAACATAAGGAGTTTCTGGAAGAGACGTCTGTCTTCAGCTATTATTCATCTTTAAGCCTTTTTTGTTTGTTTTTCCTTTACAGTTACAAGGTTTGCATGGTGGCTCATTTTTCCCTACCTAATATGCCACCTTCTAGCCACCTAATTAGTATAGTCACCCTGGCTGGGTTGAGGTGGTTGTGATTGGATTGGGTGGCTGGAGTGAAAACCCACCCCCTTGAAAGCCATGGCTTTTTCTGGGATTTCAGGGTGTTTTACAAACCATCTGCTTACCCCTGCAGGGTTCAGACATCACAACAACCTGCCAAGGGTAATTATGCTAGTTAGGCAGCTTGCATCTGGCACTCGGGAAGGGAGAATAGGCCTTCATGATTGTGTAAGCCTATCCAATGTGTGAGTAGAACAGCAGCTGTTTCCTCCCAACTATGCTGGAAATGAATGAGACCATTATACTTGGTGAAGTATTTCTCAAAGGAGCGTGACAGTTGTGAGGCTCTCCCATAATCAGAATTTGTGCTCTAGAATGGTGTGAAAACTAGCCACCTATATTGGAACCCTTGAGAGTGGAAGAGGAGTAAATATAAACCATCTTTAGGGGGGAAGATGTTTAATATTTGATTTTTTCCCCTTTGTGTTTTTAAGATGATGAAGTATTGCCAGTCTTTCCTACAAGAAAAAAGAAGGTCCAGTTTGGTGATGAAAGTAAAGAAAACATTCAGTCTGGGGATAGTCTGGAGAGTTTTCCACTCTCAAAAGAAAAGGACAGTAACTTAAAGAAGCGCCTCTATGCGGCAAACCTGCGCGCTCAAGCCCTGTGTGAGCTGGAGAAACATTATCAGCTGAAAAGCCGGCAGCTCCTTGGGATGCGTTGAAAATGTGCTGTTGGTGATGTGCTGTGTACAGAATTGTGGTGTTTTTATAGAATGATTCAAGTTTAGGTTTCTCATAGTGTTTGTGATGAAAAGCTGTGTAGGCTGGTTTTAGAAACAGTGCTAAAATATTTTTAAACTTTGTCAAAAAAAAAAAAAAATAGAGCTTGGTCATATGCCTATGACCCTCTCAAGCCAGTTTGCATTTGTATGTGCTTGGCAAGCCTGCTACTGATGCATTGACAGTAGCATCCCCAACATTCATGAAGGAGCTGGGTGGGTGACTAGATTATGACTTCAAATGATTAGTGTGCTTTTAATCAAGAGCATAATATGGTACATTAACTGCTTTTGTCAAAAGAGAATATTAAAAACAAGTCTTGTGTCTTTTATTCTGTTAAGTCTCTTTGAATCTTTGGATTAGGTACAAGGGACAGTTGCGTGCTTTATGACCATCATGTTGCACCTACCACAAAGGCTGTTTCTTCCCCTTGAGATGTTAAAAAAATTGAATTGCTGTCATCATAGAGCTCTCTGAAATGATATATTTCTTACATAATAGAACTGCCCCCCCCAACCCTTATGTATAAAAAGATTGAATCTCAAAAGTGTGTTTCATGTGTTACTTAATAGAAATCAAAATTAGACTGGCGGGAAATGCAACAGTGTTCATGCAATTTGCCTTTGTTAAAGGCTGAACTTTATACATTAATTAGCAGATCAAATCAGAGAGCTGTTCTTTGTTCAAATGTGATGGGATGGGTGTTTGAGCTTTCATATGACTTCTCACATCTGAAGAAGTTCCCAGATGTCCTGTGTATAAATGAACTTGTCAGGATAGGCAGCATATAAACGGAGCAGAAATGTGAGTAGGCTTGTGCCTGTTCACAATTTGTGATGAATATATGAAGCTGCTCTTGGTCTGAAAGAGTTGTATCTTTTTGCAAGTGCAAAACCTTGGTCGGCATTTAAATACTGTCTTCTATTTGCGTCTCTTAATTCTCTAGCGGCCTGAAGATGGAGCACCTGTTCTGTCAATGTTCCTAATAAGCAATAGGCTCATGAACTCAAGAACTGAATTGTGCTTGGTTTCCAAATGCACAAATCTGAAGCATACCACATCTGCTTCTAGAAAGCTTTCTATTGAATGATTTGGCCTAAGGTTCGGCTTTAACTTCTCTCCTTGTACCTCATTGCTCTATAAAATCACGGCTTTATCAAAAATGCTGCCAGCTCCTCCTCTGCTACTTTTGCTTTCCTTAAAGCTTGGTCCTAAAGCATCTGGAACATGCTATCAGCTCAAGCATGCACAGACAAAATGCACCCTTGGGTTGGGATATGCCTGAATTTTGCTCAGTGGAATTTTAAACGTTTTTTCTTGACCAGCTGAACTCCCCACTCCCTCTCATGCCACCAATTGTTTGTGAAACTCCCCTTGGTTCCAAAAGCAGTTTACTGTACTGCATGTAGGGTCATCTGTTTTAATCTTTCACAAACAGAGGACATTAGGAATAAGAATGGGGTTTAAGGAACACTGATAAACTATAGCCGCAATTCTAAACTTAGTACTTGACTTTACTGTTAGTGAAACTGCTGAATCGACAGTAGAACTCAGTACAGTAGCCACACCTTTTATTTTTGGAAATGAGAAAAGTATATATTACATCCAGAAGTGGATTTGCTGTCTTCATCAAGAATATGCCTTGGCAGTCTTTGTTTTTTGTTTTGTTTTGTTTTGCTGGTCTTTCTTCTCTTTGCAACTGCAAGGACTGGCATACTTGTTTACAAGCACATGCAGCGTGAATATGTTGCAATCACCGATTCTTTCAGATCCTTGCAGTGTTTTTTACATGTCTGCATAATCCAGCCAAAGTTAATAACTAACAATGTGATATCATACCAGTCTACTTGAAGTAAATTGCACTGAATTTTGTGGGTCACTCTCAGGTGAGTAGCACAGAATTGCAGCCTGTGTGTGCTTTCAGGAACCTCACACAGGAGCAGAACGTACACCTCTCCAGCCTTATTTTCCTATGGAACTTGCATGGCAATGCAGACAAAAGTTCTAGTTAAGTGTGTATAAAACGGCAGCTTTTGCTATGATGACCACTTTCCTGGATTATGTGCAACTTCTTTAGAATCTGATAAAACACATGTAGGCACCAGCATAAGGAAATGAAGGTCCAGATCCAAATAGGTAATTCTATCCAGCAGAAAATATAGTAGTTCATTCTCATTTTGTTACAATATTAACTGAAAATAAAAAAAAAACCCAGATATATTAAATATATGCCATCCTGGCTTTTCAAGTTAGGGCTTGTATCACCCAAACCCTGGAACCATGGTTTGTGTGAGGGTTAAACAAGCCTTGCTGAACCCATGGTCTGTTTTGTTTAACCATGTAATCCAAGTTCCCTGAATTTGGATGATATAAGAAGCTGCACTTGCAGCTTGAATTTTTAAAATAGCTGCCAGCACAACCACCATGGCTTAAACAAACCATGGGGGCGCTGTCTGATCATGTGAAATGGCCTATTATGTTTAATAAATAACTGCTTAGCAGAGGCAAGCAACCTAATGCTCTACAGATGTTTTGCACTACAACCGTCAACAGTTCAAAATAGCTAGAGGACGCCAGGTTGCTTTCCCCTCCCGTATATTATTGAAGTCTTGCAGTACAATCCTATATATATTTACAAAGTTCCACTTAATGTAATGGGATTTGTTCTAATGTAGACGTTTCTATCAAGGGTGTGGATTTACAGTGTAATTCTATATATGTCTACTCAGATGTAAGACTCACTGAGGTCAATGAGGCTTATTTCCAGGAAAGTGATTGCAGCCCAAGATGATTAGTGGTTATTTCAGATCCCTTAAAAATACTGCCATTGAATAATATTAATTTTTATAACTGCAGAACAGTTGATAGTCTGACATTAATATTGTACATCATTTACACTCTTAATGTAATGCTCTTTTTGGCCATAGATTTGCTTGTACTCAACATGGTATGGAGCAGAACGATAAAGGGCATTCCTGGGAATTTCTTTGACTTAATTCTGGTTATAATATCTGAAAATCATTTTCTGTAACCATCAGCAAGAGGCTCATGCCACTTAATATGGATCCAGATTTGAAACTGATAGAATTTAGAGTGTTTGTGATTTTGGATTTGATCCACTGGTATGTATGTAGCTGCCTTGAGCATCTCCGATTTCCCCCAATAAATGGCATAAAATTATATTTATACGACATCTATAAACCAAGCTCTCTAGGTCTCATACAATTATTTAAAGAAGAGTAATAAAATACTAATAGGAGTATCTTATGTTAATTGTATGTAGAGTAGACCCATTGAATTTTGCATGGGACTAATTTAAGTGTCTCATTTTGATTATCTGCTTTATGTATGACTAATATTGGATGCTAGTCAGTCTAAAAATACAGATGTAAATATAAAACCCAACACATAAAAATACAACTCATAACCAAACATAAAATACAATAAATGATGAGCAGTTTAAATCAGCCCCAAAACAGATGCATTCAAACCACAAACGTAATTGAGATTAAAGCAGCAGAGATTTAGAAGGCCCTGGAGGAAAAAAGTCAGTTTCTTCACCTGGCAACGAAAACAATGCTGGCACCAAGGATGTTCTGCAGCAGTAGGGGAAGCCAGCACCAAGAATGCCTCCCCTCCTGTAGCCGCCCTCCAAGCTTCAACATGAGAAGCACTTTATAGGCCCAGAATTTAAGAGGTCCTCCTGTTGTTTGCTATTCATCCAGATTCAAGCATTAGCATGCAGGTTTAATCTGCAGCCCTCAAGCAGTTTGGCATCCTGGAAATTGAGATTTTCTTCACTGGCATTGTTTGGAAGAAATTAATTTTGATTGCAACTGACTTGTGTCCCCAAGTAATTGAACTGTTCATCTACTACTACAGTATTGTTTAATGGTCTTGGATGGAGGAACATATTTTCACTGTGAAGTATATATTAGTATTAAGGATTTGCATTTTGTAAATAGATTATTATATCATGTAATAACCACCCTCGAAGTATGTTACTCCCTTCCATTCTCTGTTGGTCTGAAATGCTTCTCCAGCTGCAGAAAATTTGTTTTGCTCCCTGTCAGACCCACTGGCTGCCAAATAAGTGGCCAGCTCTGTCAGCGTTCTGTAAGGTCATGCAGCACTGCACCGGATTCCTGGCTCACAGATGTAGAGTGTTTGTTTGCAGTGATACCTCCAAATCATGGATGCCACACAGCACAGAACATTTAAATTCAGCACCTTGAAACACTCCGCTCTTCCCAAGATCTGGAATCTTCACATGGCATATCAGCTCTCTAAATTCTGACAGAGCTACTGTCAAAGAACTACATTTCTCAGAAAGGGGAACAACCCATAAACTCAGCCTAAGTTTGCAGTGCACATGTAAAACACCTTCAGTGAACTACCAGCCCCAAATATTTGTGTGTGAGCGTGTGCACACATGAATGTGTGTGTGTGAAATCAATGACTGTTGAACTGAGATGAAACAGAAATAAGGTTCTCCTGTAGAAATTAGAGATGTCCACGATGGTCTTTATTTATTATGCTTATATCCCAGTTTTTTTCTTCCAAGGAACTCAAAGCAACTTACACCATTCTTCTTCTCTCAATCTTATACCCACAACAACAACCCTGTGAGGTAGGCTGGGCTGAGAGGACTGGTCCAATGTCACCCAGTGAGATCCATGACTAAGGGGAACTAGAATCAGATCTCCCCAGTCCCAGCCAGCACTCTTAACCACCACACAATAGGCTCAAAACCAAACTGAGATGTTAGTCTAAAGGGTCAACATTCTTCCTCACCCTGATGAAAGTTCAAGCCAGATAAAACTTTCTGGTATATTCCTTTCTGATCCCCCCAAATCCTGGGTTTTAGCTGGACACACAATGGCAAACATGGTGAGAGAAAAGATGTTTGCTTCTCCTCCTGCCCTGGCACTGGTGTCAGCTCACATTCTCCTGGGAAATGGGCAGGGGAAGCCGGTGGCCCCAGTCTCTGCAGGAATATGAATCTGCTCGAGATTTTATTCCATGCTTGTAAGGAGCCATCCAGGGTGCTAAACCCCACACCCAAAATGTCTTTAGCATCACAGACAGCTCCTCAAAAGTTTGGAATAAAACCTGGAGGGATACTCAGCCCTGCTGATATTGGAGCCACTTACCTCCACTGGGCCAACTAGAATTGGCTTCTCAGTAGCCCTTCCCTCTGCTCACTAAGGCCAAGCCTAGGAGCCCGTATGCAGGGTCCTGGGAGTAGTTCTCCCCAGAGATTCAGCCATCATACAATTATGGCCTGGCACCTGCAAAGGAGAGCGCAGAACCAGGTGGTGGCAGCCAC